TTGCTTCCAATAAGGTAAGGGAGAAAAACTACATTAATATAAATGTGACAATGCAGCTTTTCGCTTGTTCTTTTGTCTGACTATTGTTATTTCACAGGTGAAGTGTCTGTTGTGTGCAAGGGAACTTGTATACAACAATAACACCTCATCTATGTTGAGGCATTATAGAGCTTTGCATGAGAGCAAGGAGAGCCATGAAACCGGGCCATACCTACCCAAATTTCTATAAACTGGCACTCGCATTTCTCTGCACCCCAGCTTCATCTGTGCATTGTGAAAGAATATTTTCTAAAGCTGGTGGAATATTGTCCAAAAAAGAAACCGTTTCAAGCCAGCCATTGTGGGAATTTTTGATTTGACTTTTTAGTAGGTCTCCCATAGCTATTATTTCGAAATAAAAATGAATAACAAATTATCCTGAGCACTTGTTATATTTTGTTCACATACTGAATTACTAACACAAGCACATTCATATCTTTGTCTTAGGCAAATAGCCATTGAATTCTTAACACTGTTGACCTGTTGGGCTTCTGGACCAGTTGATGTCATCATAGAGTATAATGCACCATGAAGATTTGCTACATGGGCAAACCAATTGGCTGCAAAGTTTCATTGCTTCATGGGGCTTCATTTGGCCATAACTACTCAGTGCTGCATTCACAGCTTCCATGAGACTTTCAGGTGGTACTTCACATAGCCGTTGTAATCAGTTTCTACGTTGGCCAGCCTTCATTCTCGCCATGAGCTTAGCTTTCAGGTCAGTTGCTGCTTCACTCAGCATTTCATTCATTGGGGCTGGCCTCCCAATCTCATCATCTGCATTCATTGGGGCTTGCCTCCCAATCTCTGGTAAAACCTCCTCCTCTGATCTGGCAACCTGGGACCCTTCACCATGGAATCTGCGTTGTACCTCATCAATCTCAAGTTGTGATCGCAATTGCCGTTTGTTGATGTTGGAACACTGAGCTACTTGTTGTTTCGTGGTCAACCGTGACTGTGGGTTTCGAAGTAACCATTCAGCCCACATTCTCTGCATGTATCCCCTCTGATTAGCGTTGCTTGAGTCGAAGCTTTCCAACGGAGCAATGTTATCGCATCTCGCCCATCTCTGCTTCGTTCCAGTAGCCCATTTTTCATCAAGGTGCTCTGGTTCCCCAGCACCTGATGCAGACCTTGTTTGGCCTGGCCACGTCTGAGCCAGCATGTTATTCGTTTTATTGTCTCTCATCATGGAATAAGGTAGGCATTAGCGTGAAGGCTCTTGCCCTTGCAATGTGTGCTCATATTGCCCCAAGCAGGAATCGAACCCAGTTTTCCATACGCCAAACCTATGATTTTTGAAGTTTTCCCACTTTTAAGCAGGTAGAGGTCTGTCATTTGTATCAAAGGTACTTTTCAACTATGAGAGACAGAATCTAAAACAAAGATCCAGAAAATTAGAGTCCGACCAAGAGAAATTGACCATCGTCTTGGACTTCTTCCATTTTCTGATAACAGTTGTTGCCTTCACATCAAGCTGCTTGCCTACTACCCGAAAGCCCATCCCAGCCTTTTGCAGGTCTATAATTTTATCCCTGATGTCCTTGCACAGCTCTCTGGTCTTGGCCATTGTGGAGAGGTTGAAGTTTGTTTGATTGAGTGTTTACACAGTTAAAGAGTTCAAACGGATGCAGTTAATACAGGAAATGAGTGGAGAACAGGAGGGATTCTTCAAGAAGAACTCACAGGTCTATCGGAGCCTAAATTCTGAATGCTTGATAGGGGATTAAATACTTACGTCCCGCAATAAAATGCTTATCAATTATTTAAAAATTATCGACTGTGATTTTCTGTTTTTTTTTTTTTTTTTTAAGATTCTGTCCCTCACAGTTGAAGAGTACCTTTGATCCAAATTACAGACCTCTTGTGATGTGTCGTCACAGACCCTCTTCCTTCTGCACTTTTAGTTTGGAGAGTTCACTTCCAGGGACCTTCTCTGTCTTTTTCCCTTTAATTACCAGGCTGGGCCAGAGGGTGCTCTCACAGCTGCAGCTGATCAGCAATAACCTCCTGTGCATAAGAGCTCTGCTAATTTGCAAGCAGGTGCCAGATGATTCATGCATTATGAGTGGTATCAAGGGCATTGTTAGTGCACACGCTTGTCATTTTGTATTTTTACGTTACCCACCATGGAAAAGACGGTTGGAGGCTAAGATCAAGGCGGCTCGGAAAGATGTGAGTCAATTGACGGAGGCCCAGAGAGGTGTGATGAAAAGGCCGATACCTGAGAGGTACATCCAGATGACCATACTTGAAGCACTCGAAACTGCCAAACAAAGGCTCCAAGCCTTGTGTGATGAAAAGGCCGATACCCGAGAGGTACATCCAGATGACCATACCTGAAGCACTCGAAAGTGCCAAACAAAGGCTCCACGCCTTGTCCAGTCGCCAAAAGAGGTACACGAAAGAGAATGAGGCCAGACAAATAAACAGGCTGTTCGCAACACAACCTGCGAAAGTGTACGCTCAGTGGCAGGGCCCTAACAACAGAGCTGACCCACCAAGACTGGAAACTGAAAGGTACTGGAAAGGCATATGGGAGAAGGAGGTTGCACATAACAGCAGTGCACAATGGTTGGTGACCCTGAGAGAGGAGCACAGCAACCTCCCTGAGCAGAACCCAGTTACCACAACAGTGGCAGACATACAGGAAAGAGTCTCAGATATGAAAAACTGGACAGCACCAGGCCTGGACATGGTCCACACCTACGGGCTAAAGAAACTCACACAAGTCCATGAGC